AGTGGTTTAAGTCTTCAGCTCTTAAGGGGTGCGTCTTCCGGAATTAGGAGTTTGAGAGCTCAGGGAATGTGAGCTTAGATGTGTGAGATACGCGATACCTCTAGTTTCGGGTTTCGGACGGGCTGGGCGACCCGCGAAACATCTACAACATTGTTGAGATGATTGGGGCACTGTAAAGTGCATGGCACCGGTGAACTAATATAAGGGCCTTAACAATTGGAATAGGGTTTTGGGACCCATTATACTATAGTGGTGATAAGGATAAGGAGCCTATGACCACGCCGCAAGGCGCAAGTTCAGGGTTTTGGGGTTCACGAGCTTCCGGGCTTAGGTCTTCGGGATGAATATAGGGGCCTTAGTAATTAGATCAGGGTTTTGGGGTCCATTACACTATAGCTATACTGAGGAACCTCCAAGATAGTAGTGGCAATTGTTAAGGCCCCTAAAGTATAGCGTTTGAAGGAATGGAATTCAAGGATTTCCGAGCTTGTTCCATGTTGAAGCATACACGCCTCGACCGGCTAAGCTTCAGGATCTTGGGGCTGCATCTGAGCTTTGTGAAGTAGCGCCCAATGTTTCTCAAAGGTTTCAGGGGTTTAAGGGTTCCCCATGCCTACCTACATCCTGGTGGGGCTTCTCGCAACGAACTTTCCAGGGAAAATGGAAGCCTTTCAAACCTTCAAAGGCCGTGGCTTTCGAGCAACCCCACACACACACACACAACGTCCTATTGTATGATGACGGGCGGGCTGCGCAGGCTTATGTTCATGTGTTCCCCCAGGCTCCTGGCGGTGGTGTCTTGTGGCTCTCAGACGGCGACAGGGTCAGGGAGTCAGGGAAGCGTCAGATCGCGGGGCAAGGAGTGTCATTGCCAGGATAACATCCCAGGTTTTTTGGGGTTTGGAGTTCCAGAAACCACGGCACGGTCTACCATTTCAACACTGTATGGCAAAACCTCCAAAACAACCTGAGGGATGGCACAGGGTTGCCAGAGACTCCGCAGCCCTAGTTTAGCAGTGCACAGGTAGTACTTGATTAGTAAATGGGCTTTGGAATCTCTGGGATCTTCTAAATTCTACAGTCGACACTTCCGCTGAAGGCACCTCTCGTACAACACAGAGGTTGAAAATCGAATCTCAGGTAACCCCAATCCTTATTCCTGAATCCTACGGTTGATGATATAAACCCTGCATCACTTTAAGGACCCTAAACTACGGGAATAGTGGTATACTCCTTATGATGGGTAGTGCAGGATATGATGGGTGGTTGTCAGTATTATCATAAGGACCCAAAAAGGGACCATAATTTTGACAACCACCCATATGTATCATCAACCGTAGCACCTAGAAACTCTAGGGTCTCCTAACCCTAAAGGCCTTTAAGGGGTTCCTTTAAGGGTTCCTTTAAGGGTTTTATAGGGTATACTTAGGTCCATGTACCCAAATAGTATATACTTTGGCCTTAAAATTCTCCCTATATAGGTAGATTAGGGCCCAAGTATATACTATTTGGGTACATGGACCCTCAGGGTAATTAAGCAGTGTACCTTCACATACTTTCGTGGCCATCTATAGATGAAGGTACTACTATAGGGGCCCTTTATCGTTAGAGTCGGGTTTTGGGGACGTTATATTACAACTATCATCAGGAACCACCACAATAGTATTGGTAATTAGTTAATTAGTTAGGCTCCTTAGTACACGCTTTGGAACTAAGGAAATTGGGAGTCTCTCGGCACCTGATAGAAAGCCGAAGGTGTGGTGTTCCGCCGATGTCGTAGAGGACGTGCACGCCTCTCGAGACAAGAGGGAGGCTTCATGTAGGGGCCTGAATGATCAGAGTATCTTTTTTGTTCTTTTTGCGGGTTTAGGGTTTCGGGGTTTAGGGTTCGGGGTATATTATACTCGAACTAGAACCCTAAGGAGAAGAATCGCTTTGCCCATAATTACATTAGAAAACCATCCGGTGTGAGACACACAAAGGGACACACTAACTTCTGCCTGGAGGAGGACTGGACTGTGGAAACGGTATCTGGATCCAGATACAGATGTGGACAAAGCTTTGGCGATTCCTCTCCGGCGATAGTCACAGAACCTTGCCAAAACCATCGAACGGGTATGTAGCAAGTGCATAGGTGCGTAAGTGCCATCGAAGACGAGCATTAACTATGGACGGTAGACGGCACCAATACTAGTTACTCAGACCTCCACAGTGCAGAAACATCGTGGGGCAAGACCTGGTGCTGCCCAGACTCGTGTTTACATGATCCTTCAATTCAAGTCCAAACAATTTCCTAGTACTATAGTGATCAATGATACTACCGATACCTACTACTACTACTACTACTACTACTACTACTACTACTACTACTACTACTACTACTACCACTACCACTACCACTACCACTACTAGCACCACCACCACGACGACGACGACTACTACTACTACTGCTGCTGCTGCTACTACTAATACTACTATGACTACTACTACTACTACTACTACTACTACTACTACTACTACTACTATTACTACTACTACTACTACTACTACTACTACTACTACTACTACTACTACTACTACTACTACTACTACTACTACTACTACTACTACTACTACTACTACTACTACTGAACTACTTGGGACAAAACAAACAACATACTGTGTGTGTTTTTGAAGCTCCTATGTCCATGTGGTTCCCTCCGTGGAGCCTCGTACAGCAAATCAGGGGTCGACCCGGTGCCGCTCACTAGAAGCGCGCTGCTGTAGCAAGATACCACGGCCAGCACCTGGCACGGGACCCACTTCCCCGCTTCCCTGCGCTTCCGTCTGTGTCTTCGGGAGAAAAGTAAAGTCAATCCATGGAAGTCTGTACACATATATAGGTACACAGGTTCGACATTCATAAAACAAGCGAAGTGCCGGTATGTAACGGTATGTATGTGTGTGTGGGTATGAAGCTAGCGGAGCTTAGAGACGGACAAGTACTTGATGGAGCCGGACATGCTTGTGCATGTGTGCATGGCTGTACATATGCGCACATCGACATATGCGTGTGAGCTACATGCTGAAAATGCATATGTCTATACCTTCGCATATGCACGCAAATTCTTACGTCAATGATTGCTGCGGGAATGGTCAGGGACGCAGGCCGAGCCGTCTGAAAGCAAGGGATCCTGCCAACAAAAAAACAAAGCGTGATGAACCAGCACAAGGAACCATGAGCAAGGTGCTGACTGGCACGTCACCACGTCTGAGCAGAAGTGCAACCAGCAATCCTCGGGTGCACTGTGCGACTCAAATCGTCAGATGGGAGTTTCCAAAAACAGGGGACATTAATTCAGTACTCTAAATAGTAGGATCCTTATTGTAAGGACCCCCAAAGAAGGTACCCCTTGTTTTCGAAAACTTCCAAGTCGTCAGATGGTGCAGTTGGACCCGACATTCTCTGATGGCTCTACCCAAACGATACTCACCTCAAACAAGCACACATCCTTAAACCTTTGGTTAGCAGGGGAAGGAAGAGTGGTAGTAGCAGTAGTAGTAGTAGTAGCAGTAGTAGTAGTAGTAGTAGTAGTAGTAGTAGTAGTAGTAGTGGTGGTTCTAGTAGTGGTAGTGGTTCTAGTAGTGGTAGTAGTAGTAGTAGTAGTAGTAGTAGTAGTAGTAGTAGTAGTAGTAGTAGTAGTAGTAGTAGTAGTAGTGTAGTAGTAGTAGTAGTAGTAGTAGTAGTAGTAGTAGTAGTAGTAGTAGTAGTAGTAGTAGTAATAGCAGTAGTAGTAGCAGTAGTAATAGTAGTTCCCCATTCCTGCATTCCCTACTAACCAAAGGTAAGTAAACCTTAAGCCCGGAGGTCCGAATCCATGAAGTGCCAAACTCATGCTCCCACTACGAATGATGATATAAATCCTGCATTACCCATAATATAAGGAATATACCATAATTCCCATAGTTTAGGGTCCTTAATCATAATGCAGGATATATATCATCAACAGTAGTACGTTTATTCTTCAAAGGCTTCGTCTTAAAGGCATTTTTCGAACCTGATCCTAATCTCACGTTTGGCTATCCACTAGTAGTACGTTTATTCTTCAAAGGCTTGGTCTTGAAAGTCCTAATCCGAACCTGATCCTATTCCCACGTTTGGCTATCTTGAACTGAACAAGGCTAGGCGAGCTCCTTTACACCCTAAACAACTGCAGGAGACATAGGTTATACAGGGTTTGTGGGGGGTAGTATTCAGGAGTTTAGGGTTTGCAGTAGGGTTTAGCAGTTCAAGAGTTCAGGGTCTCGGAATTTCAGGAGTCTGGAGTTTAGGGTTTAGAAGTTTAAGAATTCAGGGTTTCGGAATCTTCAAAAGATCAGACTCTTCGAAATCAAGACTCCTAGGTAGCCGCACACCACGCCACTCGCCCCCGCATGGAAGGCCGGCCGGGCGAGACACCAAACCTCTTTGCACTTCGCAGGGTCCATTTGCCCAAATAGGGTTCCTCTAGCGACTCCTTTAAGGGTTCCTTTAAGGGTTCCTTTAAGGGGTTCCTTTAAGGGTTCCTTTAAGGGGTTCCTTTAAAGGGTTCCTTTAAAGGGTTCCTTTAAGGGTTTTATAGGGTATACTTAGGTCCATGTACCTAAATAGTATATGCTGTGGCCTTAAAGTGCTCCCTACATCTCCCTGCAGAGGTACATTGGGCCCAAAGTATTTACTACTTGGGTCACTTCGCACCAGGGACATGATTGTATAGTATAGGGGCCTTAATAATTAGAATAGGGTTTGGGGACTCAGTATACTATAGTTTTTCCAGCGACATGATTGTATGTACGCTCTCAGACATAGACCATTTGTTTACATACTGTATACACAGTCATGGCTTCCAGGTGAAATGCTGCGAATGTGGGGTAATGTGGACTCATGCTCCTGTTCCCGCACTGCTCCAATCCTGAATGTAGTTGACCTGTGCTGGCCTTTGTTTGTGCCAGAACCGTAAGACCCTGTAAAGCTCTAAACCCTAGTTCGCAAGATTCGCAATAAAAAGGTGCCTCCGACACGGGATCTTAGCATCCAATTCTAACCAGCCGATTCTCCATGCTGCAACCCGGCGGCACAAAAGCCGCTGCTAACGGCGATGAACGCAGAGGCTGCTGGCAAGTTGACAACCTTTGACATTCGCGACGGGTTAAAGCGCCAATGAACTAGATGCCGTCGCCGGATGCACATCTGTACATCCATGCATGAATGCATGCATGTAAGCATACCACTGCACAGACTTGTTATATACATGTATTTCGGCATCCTCCCTTTTTGCGTCTGGACATACCATAACTGTACTTGGACCCCTTGAAAGCGTCACTTGGACACCATCACAATCCTATTGACATGCGGCCTATGCGAATAACGGCCGATCTGATATCAGCACGTGAAACCTTGATTTCCTCAAGCCCAGCAGTGACACGCTGCAGGGTTCAGGGCAAGGGGTGGGGGAGCCGATGCCCCGAAGGGTATGCGCTTCTGCTTGGTTGTTTTGTGTACTAAACGCCAGGGCTTGGAGTTTCGGGCACATACTGACAGAGACACTAGGGTTAGACCGAAAACAGAAAGCCTTACTCGTAAAAGGTAAACCATGACACAGGGGTGCATTGAGAGAGGGAGAGAGGGAGCTCTGTATCGGAGCAGCTGGATTCTGTGAACCGGCTTCATTGCTGCTGACTAGTCAGTACGGTCCCTACATGGGAGCTTCCGAAAGTAGGGGACCCTAATCTAGTACCCTAAAGAGTAGGATCCTTACTTTATAAGGACCCCAAAATAAGGTACTCCTAATTTTCGGAAACTTTCACATAGCCATTCTGCAGCATTTCCGTCGAAGTTGGATCTTTCAGAGCCTGAGACCCAGCTGTGACCTGTATTTGTAGACTTCGAATATAGGGGCCTCAATCATTCGAATGGGTTTTGGGGTATATGATACCATAATTATGATAAGGAAAACCTCAAAATAGTATAGGTAATGATTCAGGACCCTAGATTAGATCAGGGCTCCCGCATACTAGATACTCTTCCTCCTCATCCTCCAGTCCCTGATCTATATATATATATATATATATGTATAATATGTATATATATATATATATATATATGTATTTATTTATACATGTATGTATGTGTATATATATATATATATATATGTATGTATATGGCTGGTTGTCAACATTAGGGTCCCTTTTTGGGTCCCGAATGTAGTACGGCACCTAAAATTAGGGTACCCCAAAACGGACCATAATTTTGACAACCACTCCTATAGCTATAGCAACCTATACCCCCAAAACCTTGTTCTACTTATTGAGGTCCTGTAATGAAGATTTCTTGATGCCGCTCCAGTAGCCCCAACACAGAGTGTGCACGCAGCCAGCAAGGCTAAAGCAACGGCATTCCAGACGAAGTGGTGCCACGAGGAATGAACTAAGCCTCGGCTAAGCTGTTTTTCATGGTCTTGGATGTAGAAGCTCGTTTTGAACGATTTCTCTCTGAAGTGCGTCCAAGTTGTGAATTCTAAACCCTAAACCCTATTTAGGGTCTATGGGCGGTAGAGCTTCTGCAGCACCATCCCCGAAGAGAGCGTCGGGTGCAAGGGTGACACCCGAGACTACGCGGACCAACAGAAACCGCCGGCCTCAAAAGGACCGGAACCGAAACCGGTGGTTGTCAAAATTATGGTCCCTTTTTGGGTCCCGAATATATTACGGCACCTGATATTTAGGGTACCCCAACAGGGACCCTAATATTGACAACCACCCGAACGACTAAAGCATCGCACCCCACACAAAAGAACCGCGAAGAACTCGAACCAGGGGTGTAGGGATTTAGGGGTCGTGCAAGGTAGCAAGCCCCCCAACAAGGGTTGGAAGGTTGACCTGTGCTGAAATCTATTTCTTTTATCTGACTCATCTTACAACACGGAAGCTTTGATAATGATGCTTCAACCGTCTGGCTCCAACTTTCCGACGCAAGGAGTCGGTCTCAGGCTTCGGATTTACGGTTTAATATAGGGGCCTCAATAATGAAACTATAGCTAAAAAAGGAACCCCCAAAAAAGTATTGGTAACTACCCATAGGCTCCGTAGTAGTTTTTTTTGGGGGATCGTTTTAAGAACCCTACAAGGTAATCCCAAAAAGGAACTACCACGGAGCCGGGCTTTTACGAGTTGACGGCTACATCCAGACGCAGGCACTCTTCAGGGTTCAGGGCTTCGGAGTTTCGGGTTTGCAAACTGCGAGTTTAGTTACATGTCATATAGGTGCCTTCATGATCAGAATCTTTAAGGTTTTGCGGTGTATTATGCTATAGTTATAAAGGGTTTACGCTCTCGCAACTCGGACACGCCTGACGAAGTCTCTAGTGCAGTGTGCTTTGACGGTCAGGTACTACTTGCTGACTTCCAGTTATAAAGGGTTTGCAGACTGCGAGTTTAGTTACATTTGTAGCGCTTGCCTCCTGCAGGCAGAGACGACTTGCACTGAACGCAAGAGAGGCAAGGCACATGCAAAAAGTACGCCCGGCAGCCCCTGCCAAGTTCGTGGGAGGATGCCTTGGCAGGGAGGCACCTAATGTAGAGGCCTAAATAATTAGAATAGGGTTTGGGGGTATATTTTACTATGACTATAATAAGAAACCCCCCAAACCCTATTCTGATTATTAAGGCCCCTGTACATTACATCCATTTGGATTAGGATCTCAGGTTTACGAGACGAAGGCTTCGGGCTTTTAGGGCTGAGGGGTAGCAACAAAGGAGCTTACTCTTGAACTAGGCTTGAAGTTCATGGGTTTCGGGTTTGCGGTTTAGGATTTAAGGAACAAGCATAGAGGCAGCCAGGGCAGGAACCCACACATTAGGAATACTACTTAAACCCTAGCAGTAGTGCTAGGGTGTCGCCATGGCCCAGTCTCGGGCCTTAGTAACTAGAATACGGGTCTTGAGGCTTGTTGCAGTGTAAGCATGCTGGGGACGATAAGGTGATGCAACTACGAGTTGAGCTTACAATAGAACCACACATGCAGCCTTACTCGACCGTGCAGAAGTTTCGAGGGCAGAAACGAACGCTCGTTGTTGTCTTGGGTGCACAAGCTGTACACACACAAAATGTTCTCCCGGCTGCACTTGGAATACCAAACAAACTTCTCCAGCCACTGCCAGGAGCTGCAGACGATTGCAAGCACCAGCAACAAACATAAACCCAATTCTGGCCCTATACCATTGTATGAACCCTGCCGGTCAGCCGGGAAGCAGCACCGCCAGACCTAAACCTGTTGCACCAGAGCCCATAACAAAAAAAACACATACCTACCTTTTTTTGCATCCGGGCTTGGGAAGTCGGCCGGGGAAGGTGACAGGCAATAACAGCATCTCTCCAAGCTGCAGCACTACTGGCTGCAGTTCATGATCTTACGATGCCAATGCAGACTGACGATTTCAACAGCAAGTACAAGGTGAAATTCCTACCTTAACCCGGAATAACCTACCTTTTTTAAGGTTCCCTGTCATGATTTCCTTATATTACTCCTTAAAAAAGCACGTTATTCCGAGATCCGGTATACATTACACCCGAAACCCCCAAAAAGGGCCCCTAAAACCAGAAGGTCACGACTCGGTTGTTTGGGGCCAGGATGCTGAGCCAGTGGACAGCACCAGGGGCACAGGCCGTGAGGGTTGCCATAACTAAGATCGCCTGACTGCCAAGATCAATTAAGGAATATACCTTAAATTATAAGGAGCTTCATATTATGATTTAAGGTATCTTCCGTGAATTAAGGGGTATTGGGCTCTCTGACTGTATGAGCTTCGGGTTTGGGGTGGACCTGCAGATTTCGGCGCTCACACTCGGACAATAGCAGATTTCGACGCTCACACTCGCACGCAGGCAGGCAAGGCTCCACAGAGTTTAGGGTTCCAAAGGTACTGTAGGGAGGTTCTTCAGGATTCCCTCAAGCTCCTTTGGAGGTTCATATACTCATATGGGTAGCTATAATCAAGCGGGAGGATAAGTCAACAAATACGGGTTTAAAGTATAGTCACCCATTTATAACCCCACTTATAACTACCCCTGAACCTCCAAGTACATGTAGTCTATTACGGTGCCGGCAGTGCTTACGGCGGAGGGGCCTTTGCAAGAAAGGCGGGGGTTTTGGGGGCGTTGCTGATTTCTGGGATTACGAGCCCAGGAACGGAGTCCCTGCTGTGGCCCCGAAGGTTGACAAACACTCCTGAAACCCTCGCTGCGAGCGTCTGCCAGGGCTTACGGTTTGGGGTTTAGGGTGTGCCTGGAATGTAATGTGGAGGAATGAAGCCAATGAAGAAATATCCGAGATCATGAAGGCGCCTGATGTGTGATATCCGAAAATATCCGAAGTCATGTTGTGTTTCGTCTAGACTAGTGAGTACCACGCATACGTAGTAAGATCTGCAAGTACCATGAGCTTTATCTGCTCAAGTTGAGACAACGGGCGCTTGAAATTCAAGCATCAGAAAGCAAAACACGCTTGCCCGAGCATCAGTTTCGAGACTGAAATCTTTCTTCGCTGTTACCACATAGCTTTTTCTAGTATTCTCTACTTTGATTAATGCTGTCTGCTTGTATTGTTCGTCTAATGGTTGGTATTGGTATTAACCGACTACTAACTACCATTGCCATGTCCATTACTCTTGCCACTACAGATACTACTGTTACTGTTGCACTGCATTACCATGGCTGTGGCTATGCTTCTATTGCCGCTAGTACTATTAATTAGAAGCTGCCCCCACCCTGTAATAGTGACCATAAGGATTATATAGGATTATACTAGGGCCCTATTATATTCCTATTATCTCACTATTACAGGGTGGGGGCAGCTTCTAAACTATTGTTGTTGTTACTGTGGCGGCCAGGAGTCGGGGGCCACCATCCAAAGTCGCGAGGCCACTCGCGCAAAGTGGGTGTTCATCAGTTCCCTGCCTTCATTGCATCGGAGGGCTGGGTTCCCGATGTTTCTCTAAGCTCGACGACTTGGAGGTTCATGGGTAGTTCTAAGTGGGGTTATGAATCCCTTAATATGGGTTATAAGTACAGTAACCCTACTTATAACTTAAAACCCCACTTTTAACTAACCTCCAAGTAGGGTTCGAGAAGATCTCTGGCAGGATTTTTTGGTGGTTCCATGCAGGCTTTTGGATTGATAACCGAAGTTCCTGCTATGGCAGCCCTACTTCACACGAAATAAAACCCTTAAGACGCTTTAAAACTATTACAAACCCACCCTGGTTAACGTGGATCTGGGCACTTAGATCCTCAAATAAACGGTGGATGCGTAACAACGGGGCTCTCACGAATGCCAGCATCGCAGGACACGGAAGGCAAAACAACCGCCTCCACCCCCTTTCCAAAAAAAAGGAAGAGCCTTCCGGCGAGCTCGTCGAGGCTGCTCGACTACGACGCCGACGCAGGGCCGCAAGGGCCTCGAGACAAAGAGACCTCGGCCGACCATCGCTGCGCTTTTGGGGTGTATGGTTTAGGGTTTCGGACACGGTTTAAGATTGAGTACATGCGGTTTAGATAAGGTCTCCCACTAGGTGGTTTCGGACTAACAATCAAACGAAACGCTTACTAAGGACCTGGATACAGAAAGGAGCGAGAGTAATTCACGCGTCCCAGCTAAAAAAAAACCTTCCACTCCGAGAAGCAGAGATATCAGCGCGACGGCCAGCAGCTCTGTGCCCGAACCTGCGGCCTGAGATGAGATCTTCCAGGTTTGTCTGCTTCTGTGTGAAGGGAGAGAGAGAGATAGAGAGCGAGAGAGAGAGAGAGAGAGAGAGACAGAGACAGAGACAGAGATAGAGAGTGTGTGTGTGTGGCGGGGAAGGTAGGTTCAGGGATTCTGATGCTTTTTGGAAGCGATGCTTTGGAGTGGAGTTTGAGTGCTCTTCGTTGTCCTTATGATGTGGAAGCCGTCGTGCGGGTTGGATACTTGGGCCAGGCATCGGGGCCGCCCAAACCAAGTAGCAAAGCAAAATCTTACCCCGTGGTAGGGACAGTACCTTAAGCAATGTATGCTTACCCAAGTGTAGTTAACAGGGTTTCGTGTTGTGACAGACCAAATGCTCTAGGCAGTTAGACCTTTAGGCACTTCCATCTCCCACATGAGGCCTGCTGCTGATTCGGCAGCAGACAGTCATGTTTGACCACACGAGTTACTCGACTATCACCGCAGAACCACCCCGTACATACAAACTTTGTTGATCTTGCATATATGTATATATATATACACATGCATGCACCGGACCATGAAACAGTGATTTGCAATGTTTTGCAACGACAAGCTTATCAGACTATCACTATCTTCGAAAGCTCTGCCGAGCGGAGCACCGTTCCCCACACGGCAAGCGCACTGCCCAAGAGGGCACAGCGAGTAGAGGCGCGCTGCAATTCGGCGCCGCTGTTGCCTCCACGACGTGAGTTGCTTCAAACATCAGGTTCGGGCTAAGTATTAGTTGTACGGCGTAATTGGCAGGGTTTGTTGTTCATTGCTTTTTTCGGGCACATTCTTGCCTTTTTTGCTAAGCGGTAGGACCGGGTTGCAGGTGTGCGCTTCGATGCCGAGGGGTTGAAAGAGTGGCTATAGAAGCCCTTCAAAAGCAAGCGACCACCGTCTTTCTGATCCCGAAGCCAAGCCGGCTTCAAGTGTCTGTGCAGACAAGTGACCAGTTCATATGGCCCACGTGCACTTAATCCAAGAGAGCTGCATGTACTTCAGAGAAAGCTCCAAAGATGCTCTCGTGAACTCTCCAAAGTACTCAAAATCCAGTGCTCTGATTCGCAGCTGGAGCATCCCCGAAAAGACATACATGCAAAAACAGACACTGCAGTTTCTCGAGTTGACCTGGGCCGAGACATAAGAACTGCTTGATGTTGTTTCGACACCGACACCCAGAACTGGAAAAATTACATAGTATGATCTAGACGAAAGTCTATACATCCGAAACCTTCGGTCACAGCCTCAACTCCACACACTGACCAAAGTCCCAACTCTTAACCCGAGTCCAGGAGCCTCGATCATCGATTAGGGCTTAGGGCTTAGGGTATAGCTGAATCTGAACCCTTTCACTCTTGACACCCTCGACCCTACCCTTTCTCTTGAAACCCTCGACCCTAAAGCCCAATGGTGAATGAATTTTGAGTCTTATCGCCAACGACTGCCTGCCTTCATCCCCGCTCTTACCCGCCACCAGCGGCACACAGGACCACAGCGGCATTGCTCCAAGCCAAACACTCTAGTAGAACAGCCCGACGCCTCTAACCCGTAACCTAGACCCTGAACCCCAACTTCTGAAGCTCACACAAACTTCCCGTTTCCGCGCGCAGGTGGCGGAATTTCTTTGCACTGGATCTCGAGCCAAAAAAACAGAGCAGGCGGCCCAGGGCGTTTTTGAACCAAGTTCTTGGGGCGTCTTTCAACCAATCCTCGATTGGTATAGTCTAGCAGGAGCCATTTCGCACGGTTCGGATGGTTCATCCTAAACCCTAATTAAACCCTAAACCCTGAAAAACCTAGACCCTCAAGCCTAAACCCAATCCCAACCACATGGTTCATTGGTGGAGGCTTGTTGGAAGGTCCTGGTTTTCAGGGATCCTTGGCGCGAAGATTCCAATAACGCCTAAGTAACTAGGGCCCTAGGGTTCCTTTAAAAGGTGGTCTATAAGGGCTGCTGTAAGAGATCGATAAGGGTACTGTAATCCAGGGCGGGTTCCTTTATATACTCTACTATGTACTATGATACATCTCTTTCGGGCTTCGCATCGAAGACCTCACAAGAGCTTCAGACCCAAAGCCGTGAACCTCAAGACCCTGAACCCCATGCATCCCTTTAAAAAAAGGTGAAGCACAAAGCAATAAAAAGCTCCGGAAGATCATAACCAACTTCGTAAAAAATCTATCCAACTCTCTAAATACATGTGAAACGCACCCCAGACCTGACACCCCTCGACCCTACCTTGAACTACCAAGCACCTACTTCTTTCTGCCGGCGTTTAGGGTATATGAGGGGTCCTTGAAAGGGACTGACAAGGTGCCTTGGGTGGGAAAGGGCCCAGAGAGCCCAGTAGCCCTTAATTCAGGAATATACTTTTAAATTATAAGGGAGTTCAAGTTATGATTAAAGGCATATTCCTTAATTGAGGGGTATTGGTCTCTCTGGGGGTTTATAATCGGAGCCTACAAACATGCAGGTTATGGGTGTTGGGTACAGGGGGTTTAGGGTTGTTTGCAATAGTGGTTATGGTACTTTAAGGTATAGACGTGACCTTGAACCCTACGCCCGAAACCTTAGGAACTTAAACACCTTGAACGCCGACCCTCAAGACCCTGACAAGAAGCCAACAAAACGCGAGAACGTGTACGGACACTGAGGACCCGAATATACAGAAGGCTTCATTCATAATTAGAGCAGCTCTTTTTCGAAGGGTGGGTAGATATTCTATTTCACTTTGGGGACTGGATAAGAGAAACTGAGCTATGCTTATTGCGATCCTGATGCTAAACACCCCCCCTGCAACCTTAACCAGACACCCTCTGCATGGAAAGCCAAAAGTCTGCTCCCCTTCGTCTGGAGAGGAGTCCATCTCCACGGACTGAACCGCCCAGGACCTCTTGCTTTAGGGCGCCTTGGGAAGTTTTTATGGGGTTTTTTGGGGGGTGGTTAGGGGTGTAGGGGTTTCGACGCTCACACTCGCACAAGGCAGGCAAGGCTCCACATGGTCCATCGTATCACAACTAGGGCACATCACCAGCAGATGTAGGGGTTATAAGTCCCTGAATATGGGTTATAATTATAATAGTAACCCTACTTACGGCCCCACTTGTAATTACCCATGAACCTCCAAGTACGTGTTGAGGGGATCAAGGTTTTAGGAGATCAGGGTTGAGGCTTCGGGGAGTCCCCAGGGTTTTGCTGTAAGTTCCAGGACGACCTTTTCAAAGACCTCTTTAGGGCATTTTGGGGTCAAGTGGGGTGTTAAGCTCAAGCTTAGACTCTGGAGCAATTAGGACTCAAGCCTTTGGGTTTGCAAACAACTCCTGCACCTTAAGGGCTCACAAGTCTGCGACAAAAAATCTGAAATGCTTGCGATGTAGCCTTCGACCCTGGGCGCATGGGAAATCGGACAATTCTCAAAGCCGCTCTAAACCCTAAACCCTGCAGCTGATCCGGGCCCTCAATCCGCCGAGGAAAGGTACAATGAGACCTCCCCGTCTCTCTCTCTCTCTCTCTCTCTCTCTCTCTCTCTCTCTCTCTTTCGCTCTCGCTCTCTAGACACACATGAACACACGCAGACACATTTATATGTATATATGTGAAAACATATTTTTCATGTATGCATGTATGCATGCATGCATGTATGTACATTCACACAAGTAGAACCAATACATGTATCTATGTATAACAGAATAGCGCATTATATATACATATACACACATGTGACATGTTATATGCATACCATGCCTACATACAGGCACGACCACTCAAAGTCGCAACCCCGAGCCGAGCAAAACAGCCGAGGGGCGGGTCTCGCACCCTCACGCGGATGTCATGGGATCCGCCTGCGACCCAGCAGCTTTCTTAAAGATTTAGGAATTAAGGGCTTAGGGGTTTAGGGTTTCGGCGCTCACACTCGGACAATCCAAGGGTTTAGGGATTTAGGGGTCCAGGGCTTAGGGCCGTTTAGGGTTCAGGGATGAAGATTCGAGCTAGACTGAAGTGATGGCCCTACCAAGGCTGCACGGCCGCCCCAAAACCCCCGAAAACCCCAGCTCAAAGCGTAGTCGTTGATTTAGGGTCCCGTTTAGGGCATTTTTGCAAGGGTGCCTTGCTGTGCATGGGGATCCAAAAAAGACCCTTGCGACTCAGGCTTCGCAGTCTCTAGGCGGGGAAGTTTGGGTTCACCAGAGCCTCAGTGGGAGCCGTAGGGGCTGAGTCGGACCTCATGCAGAGGCCCTGACAACAAGTGGCCCGGGACGGCTTCTGCAGGGTCTCTCACGTACGTGTAGAGACATCAGTCATCAGTACCCACGATATTGTAACACTGACGGTGGAAACCCCTCTTGCCCTTGCTTCGGAATCCTGACCCCCAGTCAGATAGCAATACCTATGACAGTATGAAGATCGACAACTAGTTAACATACAACAGAGACAGTGCACCACAACAATACCATCTGAGCGAATCCACAGATCATCCCAGCGATGATGCTTTCGGAGCCTGAGACGTGCCAGTGACCCCAAGTACTGACGAAGAGCGTGAACAAGGGTCCCGTGCAGCTGGCGATCCTGCGATCAAGGCTGGGACACAAGATTGGCAATGGTTTCTGCTTTAGGGGTTGCCTTGAACTACGAAAGCCTAGAGGGGCCCGAGCAGTTCTATAGAAGGGGATATCATAAGAACGTACAAAGAAGTAGGTAAGGGTGCAACGGAGTACTTTGAGGTACGGCAAAGGGCTACCACAAAAGGTTGAGGAAGGGTTGCTGTAAGGGTTGCCGTGGGGCTTGGTGTCTCAGTGTGATCGTATGCGGCTCCAGCTTTAGTCTTGCGCTTTGGTTTCATTGGAACTGGAACAGTGGGGTTCGTCTGAACAACCTCGGCTACAGATGTGGCTGTAATAGCAATGATGGGTTCTGGGGCGTATTGGAATATGAGTTCAAGAAGAAACTTCCCAGTAATAGGCTTCTTTTGTTGAGTGATTGTACTAGCAGCTTAGACGGATCAGGGCTGTCGATGCACGGCGTGGCACCGAGGCAAACGAACCACTGTTGGGGCTTAGAGACCGTAGGCGACACCGAATTCCAAAGTCGTAGCACATTGTGGATGAAGCCCAGCTACAGTACCAGTCCGCCCGTGTACTTCTCATGCGTAAGTATAAACCAGCGAGACGGAGGTATAGCGCGAAAGCATGCACTGAATCTATCTCTCGGAGCGCAAGAGTGAGTGAGTGAGTGAGTGTGTGTGTGTGTGTGTGTAATTAGACATCACTCCTTCCCATGTTGGCACTACCTCAAGTCCAACCTCTCGTTCTGAAATTTCCCGCGATGAAAACAGGTTTAAATGACACCATAGTCGCATCTGGAGTGGAAGGCCAAAGGTCCCGAAGGAAGCTTCTTCCCTGAGTGGTTTCTACCTCGTTGAAGCTCGGCAGCCCCCAACATGTCTGGTGCCACTGAGCCAAGTGTCAAAGACAGGCACTTGGTGATCAAGTCCAGGAAAGTTAGGAGCAGGACCTCGACGAGATGGATCTTGAGGGTAGAAGAGTACTTGGAGGTTCATAGGTAGTTACAAGTGGGGTTATAAGTAGGGTAACTATAATTATAACCCATATTAAGGGACTTACACCCCCCGCTTACAACTACCCATGAACCTCCAAGTAGGACTGCCAGTAGCGATGCCCATTGGAACGACACTTTCAACACTGGGGTATGCCTGCGAATGCTGGATAAGAGTGTCCCATGGTCCCGTAAATTCCCGACGCAACTGACCTCAACCGAATTGGGATCCCTGAAGAAGAGGCATCTAGAAATCACTCTCCCTGTTTTTGCTACGTGAGTCCTCAAACCTTGAACTCTTCTATACCCAATGCCCTACTCACCTATTCTTCTCACTGGCCCAAACCCCAAGGGAATAACAGCTGAAACTTTCAGAATCGACTACCTTATAAGAACCCCAAAAGTTGAAAGGTTTAGCTTACAGCCAAAAAGTCTTCAGGGCTCCCACCACAAGGACATGCCCCGAACCCTTGGCGGAAATGCACAATAACCACGATGCCGCCAGTTCGAAGTGGTAGTAGTCGTAGTCGTAGTCGTAGTCGTAGTAGTAGTAGTAGTAGTAGTAGTAGTAGCAGTAGTAGCAGTAGTAGCAGTAGTAGCAGTAGTAGTAATCGTCGTCGCAGTAGTCGTAGTCGAAGTAGTAGTAGTAGTAGTAGTAGTAGTAGTAGTAGTAGTAGTAGTAGTAGTAGTAGTAGTAGTAGTAGTAGTAGTAGTAGTAGTAGTAGTAGTATGTCACAAGTAGTACTAGCAGTAGTAGCAGTAGTAGTAGTAGTAGTAGTAGTAGTAGTATTAGAGGAGTAGTAGTAGTAGTAGTAGTAGTAGTAGTAGTAGTAGTAGTAGTAGTGGTAGCAGTAGTAGCAGTCGTAGCAGTAGTAGCAGTAGTGGCAGTAGTAGTAATCGTCGTCGCAGTAGTCGTAGTCGAAGTAGTAGTAGTAGTAGTAGTAGTAGTAGTAGTAGTAGTAGTAGTAGTAGTAGTAGTAGTAGTAGTAGTAGTAGTATGATGTCACAAGTAGTAGTAGCAGTAGTAGCAGTAGTAGTAGTAGTAGTAGTAGAGGAGTAGTAGTAGTAGTAGTAGTAGTAGTAGTAGTAGTAGTAGTAGTAGTAGTGGTAGCAGTAGTAGCAGTAGTAGCAGTAGTAGCAGTAGTAGCAGTAGTAGTAGTCGTCGTCGTAGTAGTCGTAGTCGAAGTAGTAGTAGTAGTAGTAGTAGTAGCAGTAGTAGTGGTAGTAGCATTAGTAGTAGTAGCAGTAGTAGTAGTAGTAGTAGTAGTAGTAGTAGTACTAGTAGTAGTAGTAGTAGTAGTAGTAGTAGTAGTAGTAGTAGTAGTAGTAGTAGTAGTAGTAGTAGTAGTAGTATTCGTAGTAGTTATTGTTGTCGTAGTACTAGCAGTAGTTGCAGCAGTAGCAGTAGTTCAGTTGCAGTGGTTGTCGTCGTGATGGCGGTGGTGCTACTGCCACTACGACGACGACGGCTACTAAAGCTGCCACTGTTACCCCTACCTTCGAGCTATGTAATACAATGTAGATATGCTAACTATTATGCCCTTTTCTGACGACCCGGGCTGTCCTGGGGAGACAAACGGTGAATTCAGAAAATGAGGAGGGGGGTTCCTTTGCGGTTCGCCTTTGTTTGCTGGCTGAGCTCCCCGGCTTCCGAAACTCCAACACAGAATTAAAGGCGCAACCCTGCCACCCCGCCACGGGCCTCTTCTTGCCAGGCGCTGACAATGTTGAACGACCGAAGGAGGTAGATCGCGGGGTAGCCCAACCAGAAGAAAAACTTCACCTACACTCAACTTGGGGTCTGGAGTTCGGGTTTCGAATGGCTTGCTGTTTCCATTGAAAGGGCGTTTAAACTACGTTAGGATTTGCAGCTTCGGATGCGAGTGCTGAGAGCTGGTTGAACATGGCGGACCAAGCTTCCTTTTCACGGCTCGGGGCTGCAGGGGGACACCCTTAACCCCACGAGCACTAAGCAACCTAAACCCTGGACCCCTACCCTACACCCTGGAAGCACCAAGCACCCTGCTATAGGGGCCTTAATAATTATTAGAACAGGGTTTTGGGCTCCATTATACTACATTGATAATAAGGAACCCCCAGAATAGTATTGGTAATTGTTTAGGCCCCTATAGTACCCCGGAACCCTGAACTATAAAAGGAGGCTTTGGGTGCAGAAACTTATTCCTCGCAATCGCACGCCTGCATCCTTAGAACTTTACGGCTTAGGGCTTAGGGGCTGCCTGGCCCAAAACCCCAGGGAATAAGTTGAGATTACTGCCAATAAGGGGGGCAACTATCTCCGTGCCAAATTACCTTAAAACAGATCCGTCTGGTGTTCGCTACCTTGACGCGGAAGAAATCCTTAAAACCTGAGATAAGCAAGACTAGGCCTTCAACCTAAACTCTAACTACACTAAACTCCCTGAATGTCCTTAATGACCCTAAACCCTAATTACCCTAAATACCCTAAGCCCTAAATACCCTAAACCCCCAATACCCAAAACCTAAACCCGAAAGACCCTACAGTGGCTAAATTTTCCGTGCTCGTAGCGCGGAATTCAGGCGAGGGGTAGCGACAGATTACTTCGAGGTTCACGGGCATTATAAGTAGGGGTTGGAAGCCAAACTAAGTACAAATATATGTATATATGTATATATATATATATATATATATATGTATGTATATATATATACTTATAACGCACTGAGGGGACTTATAACCCCACTTACAAGTGCAGTTTGGGGTTGAGGGTTTGGGATTTAGGGATAAGTGACATGTAAGTCGTAAGTCTGCAGCGATTACTTTCCCTAGTCCTAACTACTCTAGCACTAGCTACTAACTTGACTCATGTGGGAGTTTCCGAAAATTAGGGGTACCCTATTTCGGGGTCCTTATAATAAGGATCCTACCATTTAGGATACTATGTTAGGGTCCCCTATTTTCGGAAACTCCCATGTGGTGCAAGGGCCTATTGTGAGCTGTGAACCATTTGGGGGGCCTCTGCCCTCCTTCGTGTGAGGAGTCGCCTGGTCCCTTTTCCTTTCTTTGAAGATTCTTGGGTTAGGGATTTCTTAATATGAGCCCTATTATGGGAACCCTCATCCCTACTAAACCCCCATACCCTGCGAGGAAAATGATACGGGTGTTCGATTCTGCTGCGATTCAGTCCATGGATGTTTTCGATTCGCACTTCACGCCTGACTCTAAGAGGTATGTACTTCAACTGAGAAGCTGGCCGTGAACCCCTTTGTTGAACCTAAAAACACCTCCGTCCCTGCACACCCCAACCGTGAATCCCTGGAGCCCTTCACTCCCAAGCCATCCCAAGCCCTAACCTGACCCTGAGACGAAGCTGCTGCGGCCTTGAGGTAAAACATGCCTTGGTTTAGGTTTGGGGGCTTTGGGGTTTGAAAGTGGAGGCCTAAGCTTAAGGATTCTTAGCATGGCTGAGAGGTTTGAGGGCCCCGAGTGAGAAGGCTTAGGGGTTAAGCAAGGTGGCAAAGCAAGGAGTCTGCAATATCTTACAAGCCCAATCTCTCAAGCAACCACATCAGATAGCTAATGGCTTCCGAAGCACCTGCCGTGGCTTCGTAGTCACGATATGGACAATGGAAGAGTCAGCCACTTCGTGCTGAACGATTTCTACCAGGTAACCCCGGCTGCGTGAACGGCCAAGCGTCTTTCACATCATGGTAGCCAAATCATTACACAAATTCCTTTCTCGATGTCAGTCGCTCAAACGTCCGCTGTTTCACCAAGGAAAAGTGGTACTTTCAACACAAATAACGACGTAAGCTACGGCCCTATCTGACAACGCCAGTGATAAGGAATCCGCGACATGAGCGGCCCCAGAAAACCGGCACCTAATTTAGAACCCGCCCAAGTGTCAACCCTTTACCACAGTTGACCCTACTCCCAAAGTCAAAGTTCTACGAACTTGAACACTACCCTAACCCAAACCCAGAACAACAAATCCGAAAGCATCAAAGCCCAAAGGTCACCCTGGCATGATGACATGGTCTTTTGGACCTGCTGTCAAGATGCCTGCCTTTGCTGTGACTGGCTCCATGGGAAGCTGGTAGGCCTTCCGAGGGCGTTGGGTGTTGCAGGGGGGTTATAGGATGCATGGCTCGTACGCTTGTATAGGATTCTCTTGAGGGTTCTTCTTTATTGTGAACACAGCTCGTCACCAAGAGGGGCAATAGTCCGATCTCTTCAAACACCTATGAACCGGTGCAAAACCCCATCAAAACCTTTCAGAGACTTTTCTGAAGCCCCCCACAAAGTCTCCAATGCGTTGATCCCCGGTGTGCGGAGAAAACCGCTTCATCAAGCCCCAGACATTGCTTTAGCCTTGGGCTTCTTGCAAGAATTGTGGTGGTTTAAGCTTCTTCGATTTACACTTACAATGATATGAATCAGAACGAAGGTCAGCCGACGCCCTTGGTTATACAATTCCTCCAAAACCACCCGAAACCCCAAACCCTGAACCCCGTTTAGGAAACCCAGTACTTACAGGGATTTAGGAACAACAAGTTACCGGTCCGAGGGCGTTTACTGGATCAGAGTCCCGACCTCAAGCGCCTTGGGGGTTTTAAGGATTAAAGGCGATCGGGTTTAGGTACACGGTAGAAAGGTATGGGTCTGCAACTCTCTGTTTCAAAAGCAGGCAGACCAAATATACATGCCCCAACAGTATACAGTGCTTGCTTTAGTGAGGTAGGTCTAGATGGCGAACTATCGCTGTGATTGTTATAGGGACCTGGGAGAATTACAGCCGGTCATGCAGGCAAGAGGCTCTCTTCAGCGTGGCGAGCAGGCACAGGAAGGAGAGAGTAAACCAGAAACGGACCTGAAGTTCGAGCTTCATGGGTTTAAGGCTGGCTTAGGGTTTAGGGAGTTTAGCGCTTATGGCTCCGGATATTGCGGTTGAGGGGCGTTGAACGCTTATGGTTGCAGTTTAGGGTATGAAATACATGCTATACTGCGTTGCGAAGGCCAGCATTCCACAGGCGCAAGCTCTGAACGAGATCGGTGAAACCGCTCGGTAACCCAAGCGTTTGTCGAGGCTTCCCCAGGATGATACGCTTTGGTGTTTAGGGCTCCAACATTGCCGTTCCGAACCTGGGAATGCAAAGGAAGCAGGCGAACCTCGCAGTTCTATGATCACCCCAAGCCTGATTGAAACTCAATGCCCTTGGAAGTTTAAGCCTTGCCAGAGGGTCAATGCTGTCATTGATAGCAACGACACTGAAAAGGAGGTTGTTTGGATGTGGTTGTGGTTGTGGTTGTTGTTGTCGTTGTTGTTGTTGGCTGCTGCTGCTGCTGCTGCTGCTGACGACGATGACGACTACTACTACTGCTGCTGCTACTGCTGCTACTACTGCTACTACTACTGCTACTACTACTACTACTACTACTACTACTACTACTACTACTGCTACTGCTACTGCTACGGCTACTGCTACTGCTACTGCTGCTACGACGACGACCACCACTGCTACTGCCACTGCCACTACTGCTTCTACTACACCGACTACGACTACGACTTTAAAGACGACGACAACTACTACTGTCATTACTACTGCAAATTGTATTTTTGTGATAACCATTTTCTTGTTCTTAACATTGTGATTCCTGGTATACCATGCTTATTGCTATTTTCATTGTTATGGTCAATATTCTGCTAGGTATGGTTATACGTGCCAAAATACTGTTATTGCTATTCACACTACTATGAAATGAATGCTCGGTGCTACTACTGATGCCCTTCTTCTTGTCATCATTTTGCTTGTTTTGACATTATTGCTCTTACTGGCGTTTTGCTTTTGCTATGATTATATGATTACTTGATTACTAGAACCATGTTATTGTTATTAGTTTCATCATGTCTATGATTTTTTGCTATTATTGCCACAGGCTTAAAGCAGCATTACCAGCCTCAATAGGTCGGTGGTGCTGGCAGATCGAGAAAGCCCAAAAACGACACCACGTAAACCCCACATACCGACGGTCTTACACCGACCCAAAATTTTGTTACCTCCAGGTCGTTTCAGTGAACCCTCAGCCTCAACCCATTACTTTTCACATCCCTCTCTACAACCCGGGTTTCGAAGTGGTGCTTCACTATGCACATGTGTCAGGCCTGTTGCCCCAGACCCGAAAACCCGCGCCACTGCACCCCAAAACCCTCCGGGCGGGAACCCTACAGGTCGGAAGCCTTCAGATGTTTTTTCGAAGTCCCCTCACTGATAAGAAAACACCACAGCAGCCGAGAAACTTCCCAGTGAGGGCCGATCCACCCACCCTCTCGCGACATGTCCGTCTGCACGGCAGCCATGCCGAAGACCATGACGAAGGCCTTAAAGTAAAAGCCAGAAAGTTGGAATATAATTATCCTAAACCCTTTATGACTTTATGGTAAATTATAAGGTATCCTACCCTGAAACCATAGCCATATTCCAACTTTCTGGAGTTCCCTTGAAGGCTTTTCAGGGTTTCCGGTTGAGGGCTCAGGCCCAGGGGCCTGCTGAGGGTTCGAAGGTCTGTAGGGTTTATGCAGAGGCTTCAACAGGGAGTTTCTCCGAAAATTGGGGTACCTTGTTTTGGGGGTGCTTATAAATAAGGATCCTATTATTTAGGGTACTGTCTTAGGGTCCCTTATTTTCGGAAACTCCCAACAGTGTTCGGTTGGGGCACGGTCCGTTACCGGTTCCACAAGAGTTGAACAGCGGTTCGCTTTAGGGCTTTAGGGGCTCGGCGCTAGCACTCGCACACTAGGGCTTTGGGATGTCGGGATCGGGCTAGTTGATGGCCGCGGGAATTTCTTCGGATTCGGGCTGGTCGTCTGAGTATCACGACGGTCAACAGAGTGATCGGTACCAGCAGCATACCAACTCATAGCGATGGTGATACCACGACGAAATCGACAATGACTTCATGCTCGGCGTGCTTTCATGATCTGCAGTGGTCCGTCCCTCAGTCCCTAGCTTCGTGTTTATGGCCAGAGCATGTGTGACTGTGTGATGCCCCAAGGCCGAAAACGGTCCGAAACGCAACAAACCCCCCAAAAAAATCCGATCCCGAATTCCAAAGCCACCCTCAACTCGCATCCCAGGAGCCGTAGACAGAAGGAGCTGCGCAGACTCGAGAGCGGAGCTTTTTGTGTAGAGCCGAGCATGCATCACCTGCAAGGGCAACAACTCCGACTTCTATTGCATAAACGGGCTTGGAGGGGCGTTGAAAGAGGGTTGTACATCACATCTTTCGGATACTAACTCCGTCGGCGGGCTTGAAAGAGCTTTTATAGGGCACAAGGGATTGAAAGGGCCTTGAGGGTCGCTCTTCTACATCGTCATTACGGGCTTTTACTTGGTATAAGGGCTTTCGGCCAGAGTGTAGGCCCGTAGGCTCTGCCGAGGTTTCAAGCGCAGGAAGTAACCTCCCGGATCGAGTTTCCGAATGAGGGCATACTTATCCCATACTTCGCCCCGACTCTGACATTCCGACCCTCCATGTTCGACATGTGAAACATCAGGATTGAGGCTTGAGGTCTGCGGAGTTTCATCCTGAACCCGGGCTCAGGGCTGAAGAAGTGCTTGGAGTGCTCAGAAATTAGAGTGATTTCTTTCACAGCATGCGCAGCTTTGAAGCTTTAGCTCTTTCAGCAACTCCACCGGCACTCCAATACTCCTGCAGAGCTGCAGTCCACGTGACCATATACCATTAGGCAACTTCCTTTACAGCAACAGGACTAGCCTGGAAATACTCGGGGGCGAGTGTTTCCAGTGTGAACTTACTGAGGACCCGTTTACGGCAAGAAATGGTTCGAGGACTGCGACATTGTCCTAATCGTAACGGTATAGTTACCCGAGTGACAGGGTCTAGTGATTCTAGTGACCATGACAAGGAACTCGAGGAATGCTCGCACCTTGCACAGAAACAGAGACACTTATCTGAGTGCTGCGCCCACTGCTGCGGCGCCAACATCGTCCACAGCAGCATGTGCGCTCCTGAGGAATACCGCAGAGCGGGAATCGCTATGTACAAAGCAAGTGTGCATGGATGTCTCATCCACCGCACAACAGTATCGGTGGGTGTGCAAGTCTGTTCCTCGTAGAGCCTCTCTACGACTCCACGGTGCAAGGGTGATGTGCCCCGCTGTTCCACCATCGCATACTTCACTACTCTTCCGCACGGTGCCCGTTCTCTGAAGCACGCCTCGTGCGGGGTTGACATCATGTGGGGAGCTATGGGCTGCAATGCAAGGAACAGCTAGGCAAACTTACTATAGGGGCCTTATGTATAATAATTTAGGCCTTATAATAATTAGAATAGTGTTTGGGGGCCCATTGTATTATGTATAGATATGTATATATATATATATCATACATACATATACATATATATATATATATATATATGTATATATATATATATATACCCCGATAGAACCTCCCCCATTGCCTCCGCCCCCAGCATCTTCTTCTGCCGGGAGACGGCCTGGGGTAGGCCCGGCCCCCTTTGCAGAGAGAAGCACTCTCAAAAGCTCCGAAACCCTAAACACCCTAAGCCCTGAACCCAAAAGCTCCTACACCCAAACCGACTGTCCTTGTCTGTATTCTTTCTGTCCCGCAAAGAAGGAGCCAGCTCCCATGTGTCGCGGCTGCTCTGCACTGTGGCAGGCCTTGTAGGTGTAGTACACCTCAGCCCAAACACGCTTGCAGAAAGCTGGAGCATGGGCCTCGAACCTACGGCTTAGTAGATGATTTAGGTGTCTTGATGCTTCGAGCAGGGTTTTGAGGCATATTCTTGTAGTATACCATGCAAAGGAAGCCTGAAGAAGAGCTTTGCGAAGTAATTCCAGTATTCCGGCTAAGATATGGGTGGTTGTCTAAATTATGGTCCCGTTTTGGGTCCTTAATGTAATACGGCACCTACTATTTAGTGTACCCAAAAAGGGACCCTAATTTCGACAACCACCCATGCGTCCCGAGAGCTTCTCCCTAAGGCTGTCGTCGCCGAGGCACGCCAGAGAAGAAGGAGATGAAGGCTAACATTTCAGCCACCTCGTGCGTAAAGCTTGGGGGTGCGTTCTGTGGTCGGCGAAGCCTCTGACTACTATGAGTACCAGAATTAGAATTATATAGTATGAGTATGGATACCTATAATTACGAATATCAATATTATTACTAGGGCCCTTGTGGACCCTCCCTCTTCCGAACCACCCTTTGGCGCGAAACTCTGGGTGGACTGTCAAAACCAACTTCGGGCCTGACGGTACAACAAAAGCTTGGCTTCCGACGACTTGGGTTCCTGTCTTTCCTCGACCCCGTGATGCGAACCCATGCTTGCATCTTACGAGGCTTGGATATTCGTGTTCTTTTCTGCAATCCTAGCCAGAGGATTGGAGCGTAGCAAACCAGCCACGAGTCTACATCTTCTACATCCCTAAGCCTTACACCCTGAACTCCTCCAACCCTAAACTTTAAAGCCCTCGACCCTAACACGACAAAACTTAAACCTCTAACCGCTCAACCCTCGCACCCGAAACCCTGAACATTAGTATATTTGTATATTTATATATGCCTGGACCCCAAAAATATGTAGAATAATAGCCTTTTACAAGTTTGTGACCATGATTTTACCTACTTCGGGGGGTCTAGGTAGCCTGAAATAAGACCCCAAAAGCACCCTCTGACAGCGCCTCCCGAAGTCGTCCCAAGAACAGGACTTCCCCGCTGCCGGGGTCTTTGAAGTGGAGCATCAGACCTTCGAAAAGCTCAGGCGAGTCAACTGGGGTTTTGGGGTTTACCTCGAGGCCCCAAAGTAGTTCCTTTTTGGGGTTCATTTCTAGAATTCTATTAGGTAATCCCAAAAAGGAACTACTTTGGGGCCCTGGGTAGGGTTCAGACCTTCGAAAAGGTCAGGCGAGTCTGTTATTCCGTTTAGAGGTTGAGGGTTTAGGTGTTTGGGGTTGAGGGTTTAGGGATAAGACCTTCGAAGACTGTCTGGTTCTTAATGGAGATTGCGGGAATGCTTATGGGGACTACTATTGGGGACTATATAGCGACTACTATAGGGATCCATTCGCCCATTCCCTACTGAGCATCAGATCTTGGAAAAGATCAGGCGAGTCTATTAGGGGTTTGGGGTTTATGGTTCGGAGGGGTTTGGGGTTTATGGTTCGGGGGTTTAAGGTTCAGGGAATTGTTCCCCCACCCCTTTTCAGCACGGGCTTTGGGTGTGTGCCGGCAAGCTGGAATCTTACGGCCTTCATTAGCTCACACCTACACCCTTTTGCGCCTGAAGCACTCTTGCAGCAAGCTCTTTCGCCCGGGACCTTAAACCCTTTTGGGGAGACCTTAAACCATTTTTTTGCATCAGGACTTAAACCCTAAACCTTAAACCCTTCTTTGGGTTTCAGCGCTCACATCTAGGCAAATCCAGGGCAGGGTCCGAGGACGACCTTCCATTGACCCAGGGGTTGAGGCCGGTTTCGCGATGAGTATGAGGTTTTCTCCCTCCTACAACCATGGACGAGGCCCGCATTGCAGGGTAGTTCAGGTCTCACATGACAGAGCTCCGATTATTATTATAGTGTTTGAGGAGCGGGTTTAGGAATTTCTGTGTTTAGGACCTTATAGGGGTTAGAATTTGGAGGTTCGAGGTTCCAGGTTTGGAAACTTGGGCACTTCAGGGCTCTGCAGAATTTGGAGGTTCTTTGGGGGTTGGAGGGTATTGCTGCTGGGCATGCATGCGTTTCGGGTTTGGGGTTCCGGCTTTACTCTGGTATCGCTGAGCGCTTCGGCAGAAACGGCTGATTTGGGAATGTTGCCGAGGCAAGCCAATCCTAAAGGCCCAGGCCTAAACACAAAATCGTCATGTAGCAGAAGCAGAAAGACTCCTGAGGTTTAAACCGCATGGGTTTTCGCTTTAGGGTTGGGTGGTCTGCGAAGAAAGTGAAAACCAATCAGGAATGAGCGATGGTACTGGGACGGGCTCTGCAGAATACCCTCAAGAAGTCACATATGAAACCATGATTTACCTAAGCCTCAGACCCTACACATGAACTAACATAGGGGCTTTAGTAGTCAGAATAGGGGTTCGGGGCCCATCATATTATATTTATAGCGAGGAACCCCGTGTATAGCATGGGTAGTTGCTAAGGCCCCCATAGCACACGATAACCACCGTAGTCCCTGTGGGCAGCTGCTTGCAAGCTCCGGTGACGCAGCAGCAAGATCAGCAGGAAGCAGGTCATGAACCTGACAAATGGGTGGTTGTCAACATTAGGGTCCCTTTTTGGGTAACCTAAATGTTAGGTGCCGTATTATGATAAGGACCCAAAAATAGGGACCCTAATATTGACAACCACCCAAAAAGTGATAGATTTAAAGGGCCGGGCCTAAACCAGAATCATAATCAAAACGCAGCCTATCCTTACCTTTGGTTAGTAGGGAATGGAAGAATGGTAGTAATAGTAGTCATAACTGTACCCCATTCCTCCATTCCCTACTAACCAAAGGTAAATATCGGGCTCGGGGTTTGGAGGTGTTTAGATCCGGCGGAATACGCGAGGGAGTTGGGAAAACTAGTAAAGACGTTTCAGGAGTCTTCAGTGTATACTTTAGCAACTTCAGAAACCATGACAAATCGTGAAACCCTGTTTGCAAAACCTGAAACCCTCTAAACCTTAAGGAGACAGCCGGCTCCTGGATAGGATGTCCGAGAAGTCAGGGCAGTCTATGGCCAAAGCAGCAAACAGCACTCGAATAAGGGTTTGCTTGGAGGTTCTTGCGTAGTCATAAGTGGGATTGACAAGTCCCCTACGGTTTAGGATTTAGGGTTTAGGGTTCAATATTATGGTTCCCCTACTCAAAGCTCCACTTATAACTACCCATGAACCTCCAAGTAGGGTTTAAGGGCTCAGGGATTTTGACACTCACACTCGGGCAAAGCCAGGCAAGGTCTGCAGACGAGACGAGCCGGGGCTGATCATGCACTAGGCACGTCAATGTCAACTGAGTTTCAACATACTGCACAGGAACAAGGGTTTAGGGTTATAGGGTTTTAGGGTTTCGGCGCTCGCACTCGGGCAACCCAGGCGGCGAGGCTTTAGGGTTTAAGGGCCTGAGTCTTGGCTCAAAAGGAGCAACATCCTCACGAGCACATGCGACCAGTACCGTGGTCTCTCCGGTGCTTCTCTCCATTTCTGCCCATTTGAAAAAAACCATAAAAAAAAGCCCAAACCCTACGAACCAAGAAGCCTTAGCCCTAGACCCTAACATCATCGCAACTGGGTACGCCAGGTTAGGTACAGACATCAAACGCCGCAGACCCGGCTGAGCCATGAAACTCCGAAGCCTGCATGTCCGACCTACTGCTTGAGGGTTTAGGCCCTCACTCAGGCTCAGAGGTTTCAGATCTAAGGGCTGTGGGCTTGCAGCTTAGGGTTTAGGGTTTAGGGCGGCTTGCAGGTTCGGAAGTTTGGACTGCTAGGTTTAAGGCTCAGGGTCTACAGGGACTAGCATCTCTAAGACCATCTCGGGCTAGTAGCTTTCTCCAAAAAGGAGCGGCTGTGCCCTGTTGTTTCAAGTCCAAACCTGAATCCGCCTCTGAATTCGGGAGGATGTTGTCAGAAGGCTCAATCGTATGATTTAGTGGGTGTGTTCTCCAGCTAGGACAGAGTATGCCTTTAAAAGGCTCCTTAGTGCGATTTAGGTCAGAAGGCGCCTTCGTATGATTTGCGGCATATATTCCGTCACTACGGGGTGTTGCCTTCAGTTGGAGAAGGCTCTCTGAAGTATCTGATTTTGGGCATATGTTATCTAAGCATCGTGGGGTGTTGGGCTCTTGGGGAAGCTGCAGGCAAGGCACTCCATTAGGAAAATCGTGGAGGCCTCAGCAGGGGCACATCGACTTAGGCTTGGTCTCCTTCGGTTCTGAAGCGGCCTCTCACAACACGGACTTGATGAGGTCGGGGTGGGCGGCTCAGGATTCAGAGCTTGGGAGGTTCTAGGGTGAAGGGTTTCCGGTTTCAGGCATTCCAGCCCTCAACGGCAGTCCAGGGCTCCCGGTTTCCTATTATAGTAGAAGCCAGAAAATTGGAAACCCAATAGCCTCAATCCTTAAGAGTAATGTATAGGGAATCCCAGCACTATTTGGCCTTAATCCGGTTTCCAACTTTATGGGGTTTACTGTAAACATGTGACAAACATTGCGGGAAGCGGTCCATGCCCATGATGACTCGATGCGAAAAAAGATGCATTAGATCGGCTCGCCAATGCCCATCGTCTTTTAATCGGCCAAGAATGTGACAGATGTTTTCTTTCTTGGGCGTTCTGCTCACCCTTTCATGCGCACGAAAGGGGCAAGTACAATCTGGGCTATTATTGCTGTGACATGCATACGCTGTAAAGGTCGTGCGTCTCGCACAAGGGTGTTCACCACTCCGGCTGCTACTTCCGGTCTTTCACAAACTTGCTGTCTAGTAGAAGGACACAGGTACACACACGCACAAGTGTATCTATATGTATATATATATATGTGTATATGTAAACACACACGGTCACATACGGACACAGTCACACATTCTCACACACACACACACACACACGTGCACAAAAGTATCCTGTCAGACAGCATCCAATTTGTGTCCGGTCCTGGCAGTTCATGATAGCTGATCTTTTGCGCTGTTCTGGCCATGAAACTCGCCATGCTGATGGTGATGGCGAAGATGACATAAGCAGACTACAATGACGAAACCCGATTCTCAGCAAGAGGCGTCCTGCCTGTTCATGCCATGGTCGGTGCTGTCTGTAGTTGCACTAGGAGAGGAGCTGGGGATCAGACTGGACCGCAGGCATATTTCCCGTGCAGAACTTATCACCGCAGAGCTGGGTGCCACGAATCACCAGTGCAGCTGAAGATAAGAGTTGCAGAGAGTAGTTTTTCGGTTGGCAATTACTGCTCCAATCTATTCGGTCGGCACCGACAATCCCGATGCACCTTTGCGGTCCGTAACTCACGAATGCTCACTCCTGAACCCCGGCTGGGCTGCAGAATCTTCTGTGAGCAGTTTAAGCCTCCATAGCAGAGCAGCAGCAGTAGCTGTAGCAGAGGATTGGAGCAGTAGTAGTCGCGCGTCGTGATCGTACTCGAAGTACTAGTCGTCGTCGTAGTAGTAGCAGTAGTAGCAGTAGTAGTCGTCGCGCTCCCTCCCCTATAGCGCAGGCCCCACATAGCACTTCTAGTCTCCATATCACATGCAATGGATAACATGCCCCAACACATCCCAAAACCATATTCAACAAAGCACTGGGGCTCCTTATGTTGGGTATCTTTTCAGGGAGGGTTGCATCAAGCCCTTGGGCTCAGGATTTAGGATCAGAAACCCTGATTAAAGATAAGATTCGGCAGGGTTCCGGGTTCAGGGTTTCAGCACTCACACTCGGACGAACCACAGCGAGGTTCAGGGTTTAAGGATTTGGGATTCAAGGTCTGGGGCCTGGGGTTTTAAGCTCAGGATCAGTGGCCCTTAAATTGCAGACTAAAAGAAAGCTAGGGCTTGGGGGACTCTCTCCACCTAAAGATAACATAAGGGCCTTAATAATTCGATTATGCTTTTGGGGCGCATTTTACTCTAAGTATAATAAGGAACCCGCCCAAAATAGTGCAGGTAAATACTGAGGCCCTTATATTAAAGATGGCCAGGGCCTTGCTCCCTGCTTCTACGTGAAAGCATCGTTGCAAGAAGAGCACTGATGCTCCGTCTCTTAGGCACCGACCACGAGGTAAGGCCACTGTGCAATGGCCTGTGGGTTGGGTTACGTACATATATATATATATATATATTTACATATATATATATATATCAAATATTTCCCACATACTTCTTTATACATAAAATGGATAAAAAAGATGGTACAATTTTGCCTCTCTCTCTCTCTCCCTATACCTGTACATATCTTGTATGTATAGATACCCTATATATCTGTGTGTGTATGTATCCATACACTATACACACATACTTATACTATGTATGATCGGGGTTCAGGTGGTTCTGTGCTCACACTGGGAAACTCCAGGCGAGGCAGGTTTGCGGAGTTGGGCTTGCATGTTTAAATCGCAGCTGCGTATACGAGGATGTAAGAGACTGAACCGTTCGGAGTCGTTTCAGGGACTCATGAAGCTCGGACTACTAAGGCCCTGTGGACCCAGCATGATCTACTAATTACTGTGATCTCCAATCCCTTCGAAAACCCAAACCTAAGGAATGCATGAACATGGGAAAATCAATCCCAAATAAATCAGGGAGATTGCGGTTGCTTTCTCCGGAACCTGGATTTCCGGTGCCTTTTCTGTTCGCGTTTGCGTTGCGTTTTTTGGCGTCGCTTGCATTTCCCGAAGCCCTTAGTAAATCCTGTTTTCATCACAGACTCAGGTGCCGGCCAGCGCCTATGCAACTCTCACCCTTTCTGAGCATGGACTCGAGCTGTATGCCGGCCGGACCAACTCTCACCCTAAACCCTAAACGGTGCTCGTATTTTCCTGATGGACCCCCTGTCCCGAGCATGCAACTATCCTGACCCGGCCCTGGCGCTGGTGCCGCGAGTGCGAAACAACGTAATTGCCAAAACCGTCTTATTTAGGTTTCGGGATTGGGGTCAGTTTAGGGTTTCGGCGTTTAGGATTTAGGGTTTAGGGTCATCTTATTTGCATGTACCCGCGGTCTGCCACTGAAACTATTTTTGTTGAGGCGGTTGGTGCTCACATATCTACTTGTCAACAGTAACTTGATGGGCCCACGTAGACACCGCAGGAAACCCAATGAGTCCCAGCCGTAAAAACATGAATCTGCACTAATATAGGAACCTTAATATTTGAATAGGGTTTCGGGGCCCGTTGTACTATAGTTAGAATAAGGAATCCCCAAGTTAGTACTGTATAGGTAGCTATTTGTCAGGCCTAGGGTTTACCAGCCTACTAGATCTCAATTGAGTTTCGGATCAGCTGCACTGTGCCGGAACTGCCCAAAAAGAGCACCGTATACTTTGAGGCATTGGGAGGCCGTAGATCCATTGGTCTACCTGTAGTCTCCATTGTAGCTCCTGTTTTGGGTTACCTTTTACGATCCTGAATATCAACTGGTTAAACCAAAAAAAGGAACTACAATGGAGACTATAGGTAGGGTTCAGGAGTCTGAGGTGTAGGGCTCCATCCAGTTAGGATGATTTGGTTGTGGGAACACCTTGCCATCTTCGAAAATGCGACAAATCCACCAGACCGCAGAAGACTTCAACCAAATTCCTGTCCTAGTACTTTCGGCTAAAGTCCCCCAAACTTAAATAGATATTGAATCCCATACGGCAGGCGAGCCCCCTACACCGTAAAGACCCTTGAAATTCCCCAGAAACCGTGTGGCTTCCCCAACCACACCCACAACTCTCACTATATGCCTATGCCTTCTAGTTCTTAAACCTCCACCCCCTGACAAATCAGAGCTGCCTTTGGATCCGTCGTTCGCTCTACATCATAGACATGGCTCCTGGGGCGGGGGGATGAAATCTGAGGGGTATCTTCTCTTGTCAGGCTGTGTTATTTCGTGGAGGGTTCGTAGAGGGGCGTAGCGCAGGTCATGAAGCGTTTCTAGATTTAGGTTGCCTACCCAAGTACAGACTTAGTCGTGCCTATAAACTGTAAGCCACCGATTGGACCGATAAGACAAAAAAGGGATTTCGAAACTTATCAACCCCAAACCTTGGATTGTTCTGAACCCCAACCCCAAAAAACAATTTTAAACCCTGACGGAACCCAGATAGAACCCCTGTAGAACCTTATGAACCAGTGATAGGCCCGTATCGAACCCATATATTACAAAGAACGAGAACCCCTTGCAACACCCTTATCACCCTTATAGATGCCCTGTGCAACCCTTATGCTGTCAACCCATGCAGCTCTACCAGAACCCTGCCTACTATGCTCTAGAGCACGTCTAGCACACAAATCGAAACACTGAATACTGACTGGAAATTTTTGGTATCTTCATAGCACGGGGCCCTTATAGCACTGAAGAACCCGTACTTTTAGAACCCTAATAAGCCCTTCAATGAAGCCCATTTAGAATGGAACCCGTCCACTGCCCTTGTGCTGCCAATGATCGGTGCAATGAGCTCTTGCTGGAAGAGTCGGTAACCTGGGGAACATGCGGAGCTTAGGGTCTAGCTTTTTCCCCTCCTAGGGTTCAGGGTTTCGGGTTTGGGAAAGCTTCCCTTACGGCTTGTTTTTTTGCATAAGGTAGTTCTGGAATACTGTACTTTTGGAAAGGTGCTTACAGGATATTACAAGGCTGTGCGAGTGTTTAGCAGGAGCCATCTGGCAGTTCATTAGGGATACCCTTTACAAGGGATCCTCAGTACGAGGATCGTACTGTTTTGGGTCTATAAAGCTCTTTTTCTGACACTCCCAAGCCACAAATTGCAAAACGGCGTGCAGTGGCTTCTGAATTTACAGTCTCAAGGCTTAGGGCTATGAAGGCTTGGGAGTTAGGGCTCTAGCATGCTTTAGGTTTCATCTTCGGATGAGCCCTTCTCACTACTTTGTACTTCCTCCCCATGTTCTTCGCGGTGTGAAGTAACATGACCCACCCTCGTTACCCTGCCAGGCTTTCTTTTTCAAGCCTCCGATAACAGCTCGTGAGTAAGATAGTTTTAAGCAGAACCAACTTACTATTGCTGCCACCATTACTGTTATACTACTACCCTTACCACTGCTAGCGTACTCCCAATACAAGTACCATTGCCGTTATGATTACAAGTACTATTACTAGGAGGAGAATATCCACCATAAAACCCTTCAACCATTCGACTCGCAAGCACGACAGGCAGGAGCCGGCAGGATGTAGAGAAAGGAAATCTGAACCCAAATCTCTGATGAATCCTCTCTCTCTCTCTCTCTCGCGAACTCGGAAGTGCCAGCCACATGAGAGTTTAGTACTTCAGACCAGACGCGCCGACATCCTACCAAATCCTAAACCCTCAGCCGACTCTCCAACCAATAAACCTTAAGCGCTAAATCCCCAACACCTGCCCTCGAAACCGGCAGGGTTGAGCCACGATATCTAGGTCGGATGCATTGCACTAGGGAATCCGCTTGGCGTGTGGGGAGCATACCTAGATTGTCTTAAGCATACGTCACTTAACACGCTTCTGTAACGATTGACAGGCTTTATACAGGATGCTGGCAGTTAGTGTTCCGTATGTAGCTGACATCCCCTCTATCTATCTCTCTCTCTCTCTGTCTCAGGTGCTCGAAGCGTCAGACCTGTTGATCGGAAGCCGAGTTTCACGGCTCCAACCTCTGTACTGCACGACAAAGATTTAGCTCCCCTGAAGCCTGAAACCATTCACTTCACTACTTTCCTTTATCAAACACAAATGGGATGACCGAAGAGACAAGCGTACAAGCTTACCTCCAAATCAAGTGTTGCTACACTGCCGCAACTCGGACATGTAATACAGTATCATCAGGGTTTCGTTTCGAGTTGTAGGACTCAGGTTTGGGGTGAGTAGCATCCAGCTCTAATGATCTGCAGAAGGCCACCCCTGACTTTGAGACCCACCGGACTGCTCGGGACGAGGGGCTTTGCCACGCGACCATAATCCTTCGATGCACTGGGCTTTGAAAAGAAAAATTCAAGAGCTTATGCGGGCAGACAATGGCTCAGGGCAAACTGTGGGCATCGACCAGTCTTTCGTTGGCTCGTTCTTCGACCTGCGGTTTGGTATTCCTTTCGATTTGATTTGCTAGTGCATCGTGCTAGTTGCTTTTTCGCTGATTCTTCGCTGTCGTGAAATGAAACGGCCGAGCGGCCCTAGAAACACGGCCTGGACACATACTCCAGTCCGCTTGCGCAGCGCCATGGCTGTTGGAAGGTCCAGGACCAATGCTGTGAGACTTCAGCAGGAGTGCCCCAAACCTAGGGTCCTGAAGACCTACAGACTTCTCTGCTGATCTGGCGACTTACTCTGCAAGCCCCAGTACGCCCTCTTCTGGAAAGCTGATAACAGGTCTTTCCGTACACGAAGGGAAAGGCCAGCCGCTCTGCGACCGCGCGACTGAGAGTCGCAGACCCTCCGCTAAGCAAACATCTGCAAGGTGCAAGAGGAAACCAACGTAGCAGCGGAGCACCTTTCGAACTGACACCATGTGCAAATACACATGTACCCAATGATACATTTAAGTACATATAGAGTCACACGGGGGTTTCGGGCCGCTCCATGGGGTTTGGGACCAGCAGTCTGCCGAGGTTCTATACTATATCAAGAGTCTTGCATCACATAATCACATGATGTATACATATACATAGAGAGAGAGAGTACTATATTGTATACCCTAATGTATTTTGCACCGTATGCTATACTACGTATTGTGCCATTATTATAAGCAAAACAGCGGCATCAGATACTGTAAGTATGCTCCCTGGGCGCGGACGCTGAACTCGTGTTTGATGAATCTCAAAGTTTACCGGTGATCGTCAAGGCCGAATCCTCGAACCGCATGTGACAACTTTCCGCAATACAAATGTCGAAGTTCAAAAATGAAGACGGATTCGAGACATTCGGCCGTTTTCGGGGGGTCCTTGTGCTAAGAACCAGTCTATCTAAGCTTTCTTTCCTGAAGCTCCCGAAGCCACCAGACCCCTACCGCATTTGATGAGAATGCTTTCCGGCATCCGGCGCACGCTACACGAATCCATCAAAAGACGAACTCCGAAAGCAAGTCCAAGCTCGAGTTCTAAGTTAGCCCCGACATCTACCAAAACCCGGGTAGTCTGTACACAGCACCATAGCCCGAAGCCCACAGCCCCGAGCCATAGAACCCAAATCCTAGACCGAAGGCCCGAGAAACACAAGTCCATAAGTGCCATAACAACTATGAACAGGGCTTTGGGGAACATTCTCGCATAAATATGTATGTAGACGGGCGGCTGCCTATCCGAAGCCAAAGCGTAAACACTGTTTACTAAACACGAAGCACGAGATCGAAAGCCCAAAAGAGTGCCTGGATTTGCCTCATCTCATCGCCTAAGCGACGGCTACGCTCAAGCTGCTGGAGCGCCTGGCAGGAAAGCCTTTTTCCATGGTTAAGGGTGAAACAAGAGAGCCCAATACCCCTTACTTAAGCAATATACCTTAAATTATGAGGGGCTTAATATAATGATTTAAGCCATTAAGGAATATGGGGCTCTCTGAGAAGTATAGGGTTTCTGACGGCTTTAGGGGTGTAGGAATCTGTCATGTTTCGGGCTTTAGGGGTTCCGGCGCTCACACTCGGATTTAGGGGTTTCGGCGCCGCACTCGGAGCATGTGGTTCGGAGTCTGGTGTGATTTACGGGTTCAGGGGTCATAGACCAGGACTTTAGGACTTTCAGGGGTTCAATCTTGGGAAATCAGGGTGGGGTTATCTTTCGGATCGCAGGGGATACTAGAGGCCTCGGATGTCCAGGTCTTCTTGACTTAAGCCGACCTTGCCAGGATGACTTCCTGATATCTTCGCTCCCACAAGAAAAACAGCTGTTGTTTTCGGGCTTGTATCGTATACCCACGAAGCCCAAACAGTTCGATTCCGGAGAGCATTCTTCTCCATCAGTGTTTATCCAACAGGCCTTCCTCTGGGCTCTGGGGTGAGCTTATTATGAGTGGCGTCGTTCTTTCGGCAGAAGGCAACCCTGCTGGTCAGAACTATACCCGTGTGCCAGGATATCTTATGAACGGTTCGAGGTTACCTAAAGTACCTGTACCGGACCTATTCAACGCCCATGTATGTACGTACTACGACTATGTCGGTGCATGTTAAGGGCTCTTTGTATGGATTCAAGGGGTTTAGAGAATGCCTTCCGAGTATATACTTGGGTCTCCAAATCCAGAAGAGGGCTCGAGGTCCTGGGTATTTTCGGGGAAATTTGGATTCAAGGGAATTTAGATAGGGTTTTTGTTTCTCCTACTTCGCACCGACGAGCCCGGGGTTTAGCATGTGCCGGGCATGTCGTACTAGGGTCCCTAGCAACACATGTCAGTGTGATGCTGACGGTTGACGGTGGTCGCAACGGCGAGGTGCAGTGCAGTTCCGGTGCAGTGCAGTTCATGCTTTTCTTGTTGAATTATGCTTATTTACCTTTTTGCTACTGGACTCTCAAGTCTAGCCAGTCTACCTCAAAAAGAAACAGTATGGTACGCCCTGGCGGCGTGTATTTTCCAGTCAAAAGAAACCAGATAAGGAAAACCATCAAAAAACTACGTAGCAACAACGTTCAACGTATGTACACATCTGGCTAAAGATACTTACATAAGAAAGAACCCTCTGTGCAATACCATGCACATACACACCCTAAAAGCCGTTCACCTAAACCCCCCGAAAACCTTCCTTTTGCGAGGCCTCTTCCCGACGAGCTTTTAGGGCCTGGCAGAAGCTGAGGACGGACGTGAAGCGAGCAAGAGGTGGAGGTTGAGCTTCATATGGTTTGGGGTTTCGCGTGTGGGAGCTTGACATGCAGGGGCTTGGGGCTTCGTGATTTGAGTTTTGGGCTGGGCATCTTCGTGGCTCTGGGCTGGGCTTCCATCAGCTTCAGGATATGGGGGCGGATCTCGTTTTAGTTACGTATAGGTGTAGCTTCACACCCTTACTACAAGCACATTTGCTGATCCCATCCCCGACTTCTCAGGCGAGACCACTGAACATGCTGGGCTTGCTATTGGCGGAGGACTGTAGTCCATAAACCCCCAGCCATTAGCGGTTTAGGGTTTAGGGATTTTAACTATATTACTAGATCAACTGTACTAGATAGATTAACTAGATTAACTATGTTACTACAAACATAACATGCCAAGACCTAAATACCACGAAACCATGAGACCAGAGGCCTCTACGAACGAACGGGGAGTTTCCTGAACTTCGGTGCACCTAACCTCTTTATAAGGATACCCCCCACGGCTTTACAAGGCGATAGTTACGTTTCTAGAAATTCCAGGGTGCATCTTTCAGAGGATCCTACATGTTAGGGCCTTCCGATTATGACTCCGGCTCTATTACTTTGGCCCGTTGATTTTAAGAACTCCCATGGGGCTGTAGGCTACATGCAGTGGGTCAAAACCCTAAAACACTGAGACAGCTCAGCGCCAGCTGCAGGCTTTCGCTCTTGTTTGTCCTCACAAAGGCGCAGGAATTCGGCCACCGCGCTGCACCAAGCATCGCCGCCCGTCGCTGCCAGCCTGCATGGTCTCCCTTATGGACCCCCCAAAGTATCGCTCCATGATCCCTTAAAGGAGCTCTTAAAGGAATAAAGGAACCCTGAAAGGACCAGGACCCGTGTAAGTCAATAGTAGGACTGTGGGTCCCAAGTACCAGATTCTGAATGGTTTTTGGTAATTACCTGCAACACGAATATTTGGGTACTTGGGCCCTGCAGGTTTACATGCTCAGGATCTCAGGATGAAGGGAAGCGGCAGTTGGGTTGCATTACCCTACATCGGGCTATGGTTAGGGTTTTGGTGCGACCGGGTCCAAACTCAACCAAACTGGAGAAAATACGACCATACAGGGGGAAGACACAACTGAACTATGTCTGTAGGCTTGCAGTCAATTATAAGTTTGGACATGCTCTGCAGAAAACCATGGTGTCAGCCTTCAGGTTTCAGTGCCGAAGCTGGGTAATGGTGGCTGTTGTTCGTCCCTTTTGCGCCCTAGCACGAATGTGGAATATCATAGGTCTAATGGATGTAACAGACAACCATAAAACATTTTGGCATTTTCGGACCTAACATCAAGATTTTAGTTTTCATGCTTTCGGTCAATAATGTGCAAACGGCCCACAGGCAATACATATCATGATTATTTCGGTTCGTATGCTTTCGGTCATGTAGCGGCGAGTGGCTTATATACAAACAATGTTAACATGATTAGTTCGGTTTGCGTGCTTTTGGTCAACAAAACAACCAATTTGGCATCCCAGACTCGGACCCGAAAGACCACAGTCGTATGATCCCCCCATCTCGTTTTATTTTCACCCATCTAGGCCAATTTCTAATCTCTACCCATCTGGCTCGGCTTACACCCATCTAGCTGTAATTCGACCTTTTCTCGGGATTTGGTTTGGGGCTAAATCACTGTGGGGTTGGATTTCGGATGGTTCAAGGCTTATGGGGTCCGAAGGACTTCGGTTTGGGTGAATGAACCTGTTGTGAGTCTTATGAAAAGGTTCTGCAGTTTCGGGTCGCTTCCCTGCGCAAACCCGCGTTTCAGGGCTGAGCGTGTCAGATGCAGGCTTTACCTGGATCCTGAGGAACCTACCTGTTTAAGGTTCCCTATAATACCATTTCTTTGGATTTTTTAAGACAGCACTCAAAATTCAGTTTTCTACGAATACGACAAAACCGGGCCCTGAGGGTGACGCTTTCTGTTTCTTTACATAAGCCCTTAAAAAAAGGTAGGTTATAGTGGGGTTAGGGAAGGGTCTGGGGTTTAAAGTCTTGGGTTTGGGATTGAGGGCCAGGGCTCAGCGGCTCGGGCTTAGGGCTCCTTTACGGCTTCGGTTTTGGGCATCGCCTCGCCGAACCCTTAACTTGCAAAGGGTATACTGCGGCCTGGGATCTGTTGAAACAGGCTTTGGGGTAGATGTCGCATACTGCGTTTACATGAGGCACAAGGCCAGGGAGACTGTGATGACCCTAAACCCTAAACCCCTAAACCCTAAACCCTAAAACCCGATGTTACAAAGTACTTCTGCCGCGACATTGCTCTGCGCAGAAGACGCTCGGCAAGTAGATTGCCCTGAATGCCCTGGACACCATCAAAACGCTCGCGCTCGAATAACGATACGCAAAGCAAGCTTGCAGTGACTAGATGTGAACCCACTGCAGCTCCA